CGCTCTACCCCTTAAGCCACAGCACCACTTTCTGGTTTTCTGGTGTTTACTTGGATATAGGAGTCTCATGGACTTTCCTGCCCAGACTGGCTTTGAACTGTGATCCTCAGATCTCAGCCTCCTGAGTAGCTAGGATTACAGGCATGAGTCACTGGTGCCTGGTCCCCACAAATATTCTTAAGTACACATCCTAAGCATACTAACATAACACTTGAGAGACTGAAATATGCTTACCTTTATTCCACAGACGTAAACCAGGTAACACTGGCAATATCAACTTTTAGGACACCAGATATATGTAAAAGCTATGAAAGCAAGCTACTACTGTAGTCAGTCTTTCTGATGTCAAGAGTTTCCAACATATAGATCAGCAAGCCAAGAAAGAAGCAAATGTACTCTATTACCTTAGACCACACCATTAGAAGCAAAGTAGCAGAAATAGATCCCATGCTTTAAAAGTATCATTCCAATGTGTGAATGTACACAATTTTTATGTAGCACAGTTTCAAGTAAAAAGGGACAATTATTCTTTTTTTTGTCGGCCATGGGGCCTGAACTCTAGGCCTAAGCGCTATCCCTCAGCTCTTCAGCTCAAGGCTAGCACCATTTCCGGCTTTTTCTGCTTATGCGGTGCACAGGAATCGAACCCAGGGCCTCATGCATGCAAGGCAAGCTCTCTACCCCAGCTGGGACAATTATTCTTTAAAAAGTTTTCCTGAGTTTTATTTTCATTGAAGGCTAAATCTAATACTTCATATAAACCCTAAGTCATAATAAAATAGATGTATGTTTTAATATTAAGGCAGTTACAGGTGACTTAGGCAGCATGAGTAACATACTCAATTTACACTAGGAGACCCACAGATCTGGGGAGGATGAATAATCTAGCTTAACAATAAACACGTTTACCTCAAAAAAAATTTTTCATTGATATTCTCCAATTGCAAACTTTAACTTTGTAATAGATGGAAATTCTAACAGATGGAAAAAAAATTTTCATTGATAATCTCCAATTACAAACTTTCTAATAAAGAAAGACGACAGGAAAAAATTTGTAATGCTTCTGGAGTCTAATGTGTAGGTCTTTGGCTTTCTTCAACCCTGCCATCATAAAACCAAAAACAAAGTTTTAACTCAAGGCTTATGTAGTGCTGGGCAGTAACTGCACCACTTAAACCATTATCTTAGCCCCTTTTGCTGATTATCTTCAAGATAGGTTCTCAGAAGCTTTCACCTACCAGGCTGGCCTGGACCACCATTTTCTTACACTTCCGTCACTAACACACTCTGCCTTTTCTCCAGATAGGGTCTTGACAACTTTTCCCCTGCTGGCCTGAATTAATTCCTCCGCCTCCCAAAGTAACTAGGATGATATACAGAGCACTGCATCAAACTATTGGTTGAGATGAAGTCTTTTTGCCTCAGGTAGACTAAAATAGAGACCCTTCTGATCACTACCCTCCCCAAGTAGTTAAGATTAATTTCAGGCATAGCCACCTTTATCAGGCAAGAATAGAATATTCCTTCCTTAAATGTTCACCCTTACAGGATTTGGCGCATTATTCCTACAATTTTAACTCTAAAACTTTAATTGGGGTTTCCAAAGATTATTAACATTGAGACCTATCTACTCTCAGTCTAAACCACTATGCATAGTAACTCAATTAATTAAAAAAACAGTAAATCTGGCATGAGACTGCTATAAAATCAATTGTTTTTACAAAGCAAACCATGTTTAAATTGCTCCAGAAGCATTAGTGTATAGATTATATAGTCTCAGCCCATTCTTTTTTTTTTTTTTGGTCTGGTCGTGGGGTCTGAACTCTGGGCCTGGGCGCTGTCCCTCAGCTCTTCAGCTCAAGGCTAGCGCTCTACCACTTGAGCCACAGCGCCACTTCCGGGTTTTTTCTTTTTGCTTATGTGGTGCTGAGGAATCCAACCCAGGGCCTCAGGCATGCAAGGCAAGCGCTCCACCACTAAGCCACCTTCCCAGCACCATCAGCCCATTCTTTTAAAGTTAGACAGGAGATAACCTATAGCAAAAGCTTCAGAAAAAATTTTTACTTGGGCTTATACATTAATCTTCACAGGAGATCTACTAATCCTGTGCATAAAGAAGCATTACTACAGTTCTATAACTGCATGAGACTATTTTCCTTCCCACTCAATTCAATGAGTGGAAGGAGGGGGATAAAAACCTACTTTGTAAAATTGTCTGAAAGCTAATATTCTAATCTTCCATTGCTTTTGTTTTGGTTTGGTGACTGTCCTGGGGTTCGAATTTCAGGGCCTGAGCATCGTCTTTCAGCTTTTTTGTTCAAGCTAGCATTCTACCACTTGAGCCACAACTCCACTTCCAGCTTTTCTCATGGTCAATTGGAGAGAAATCTCACAAACTTTCCTGCCCTGGCTGGCTTCGAACCACAATCCTCACATCTCAGCTAGGATTATAGGCATGAAATACTGATGCCCAGCTGCTCTTTAATATTTTAACCCCACTGTCCCACATACATTGCTATATAGCACATATAACTCAATTTTAAAGTATTTTACTCCAAAAGAACTGCAGTACTGCACAAAAATAGAATGGCTATCTCAAAGCAAAATGGGAAATTCCAATGAAATGAAGAGGTTTATAAACAAAATTAGGAATAAGATGAGTGGTGGTGGGTGACTGTAGTTCTAGCATTTCAGGAAGCTGACAGAAGAATCAGGTAAGAACCAGCCAACCAAAAAAAACCCCTAGGGCTCATGTCATAAACATTAAAGTTAGGTAGACACAATAAATCGGCACTTAAGTCTCAAGCCTCATAACAAACTGTGGAAATAGCTAGTAGAGTTCTAATAGGGATGCCTTTCTTGAAAAATAACTTACTTTCATATGTAAAAAGGAAAAAAAGTAAAACTAAATTTGTTTTGAAATAACTAGGAAAAATGTGACTTTTTTTGGTGTCAATCATGGGCTTGAACACTGGACCAGAACACTGTCTCTGAGACTAGCACTCTATCACGTGAGTCACAGCTCTACTTCCAGGTGTGTGTGTGTGTGTGTTTCAATTAGTCTCATGAATTTTCCTGCATGGGCTGGTTTCTAACAGCTATCCTGAGACATCAGCCTCCTGAATGGCAATGATTATAGGTATGAGCCATGGGGCACCAGGTGAATTTATCATCTTTTCATTCCAATTTGTAAAAATACAGAATTTTGTTGAACAAATTAAACAGATGATTTTGTAACTACTAATCAGCTTTATTTATCCACATTATCAAAACTATGGTATCAAGAGGGAGACAAAGAAAAATACAGTATGGCAAAATGGAGCTGGGTGTTTGAACAGTTAATAAGCCAAATATTAATTTTTTTAAAAAATGAGCACTACCCAAGCTATCATTACAGGTATGTTCACCTGAAGTCTCTGCTAATCAGAGAGGAAAGTGGATCACTTGAGTCCATGCAACATAGTTAAGACCCTAGAGAGAGACAGAGACAGGGAAGAGGAGAGACAAAGAACTATCACAGAAGTGCAAACTTGCCTCAGTTAAACCTATTTTCAGTGGAGAGCAATTGGTCTCAACATTCATTAATAGTTGTCAACTTTTCCTAAATTTACCTTAAAAAATTGTAAAAATTAGTTTTAGCAGGACACCCATCTTTCATACCTGTTAGCCTAGCTACTCACTCAGGAGGCTAAAAGTGTAAGAATCAACGTTCGAAGCCAGCTCAGAGAAGGAAAGTCTTATGCCCAATTAACTGCTAAAGAGCCAGAAGTGGAGAATTGCCTTAAGTGGTAGGATACTGGCCTTGAGCAAAAATAAGCTCAGGGTCAGCACCCAGGCCCAGGGCCCTACCCATTACAGTTTTTGGTAGCAGATCAAGTATAATTGACTAACTTTCATTTCACAGTCAACTCAATTTACTGGAAACAACTATGTAATTTCCAAAATATCCTTGTAATCAAATCAAATAGTTAATATGCCACTGTTGACTAGTAGTGAAACGGAAACTATCTGGGCCCACTAGTCACTAAAATAATAGGAAATGTTCGTTTAAATAGTATTTAGCATGTGAAATTCTCATCTTAGTCCTCTTGCCTTTTTCTCCAATGTAAAACGGAACAGTGAATGAGAACACACTATTAAGTATATGTGTACAGAATTTCAATGTTATTCCAAATGGGCTTTTAAAATACAATGTAGTTAGTACACAAACTGAGCAATTATCTGCTAATTACTATCTAATCTCCAGTAGTGGAGATACAAACACAGGGATAATTCAAATATGATCTTAAAGGAAGAAAGACATTTAGAGGGTAAAGTTGGGATAAAAAGAATACTCAACCTACCAGCCTCCAAAGAGAAGTCATGCAATTGTGAATACATGTCAACCAAGTGTAATTAACATTCCAGCCAAATCACACTGAAAATAAAAAGTCTGGTAAGAGCTGTAGTGGGGAGCCACATAAGCCCACTTCTGAATAGAACATATTCACTGATTATAGGAAGTATATTTACAAGTACTGTTAGTGAAAGGTAAGCATGTTTGTGTAATGCACACAATACTACTTTTAAGAACTGTTACTTTTGACAGCTCCAGACTATTTTGGTAAAACATGCAAGACATTTTAAACATACACATTACATAAAGTCTTCATATCTGGCCTTAAAACTATAATTTCAAAAATAATCTTATTTCAAAATAAATGAAATCACAGTACATTTTTCCTTGCCCATATATAAAAATCAGTATTACACTAACTACATTTAAGTTAGTCAAGCTGTGATAACATGCATTACCACAGACCAAATAACAAGTAATAGCATCAGTTTTGCCCAAAGATCATTCAGGATACCTCAAAAGGTTTTTATATCCCAGGCACAAGATAACTTACTGTATTAATGCATAGAATTTCCTGGGGATCAATGGGCAAACAACACAAAGCTTGTCCATATTATTACTACTGAGACCTTTATAATACAGAAATAAAATTTAAAAGTTTTACCATTCTTCCCGCTGTGCCGTCGCTGCTTCAGTGTGTCGAGGGGAGGAGTTTGAATGGCTAGGGAATTAACAACCGGTACAGCAACCAATCAAAATTCTAGTTTTAGTTTTTGACATTGTTAGGGTTAAAAACTAATTCATTTACACTTCAATTCAACAGTAGTTACTACAAAGGCAGTTGCTTTGTGATTGGAAAAGTTGGGGCAAATATAATAGAAAGTTTGCCCCAAATGGTTATGGGGCAATTAAATCATTTTGGTTCCTCTGCCCAATGAACAGAATTTAGAAAGCAAAAACCAAAATGCAAAAGCTTAAATTCCAGAATACTTAACATATACATATTCCTTTCTCAACTTAAGCCACATATAGGTCAAGATTAGTTGTTTAATTTCCCATCCCACCTCCACTACCCCAAAGTGAGTACAATTGGCAAAACAGCCTGCCAAGAGTCAGCCGGGGGTGGGACTAGAAAAAAATGTATTCTAACATACACCCCAACTCCCCTTATAAATCCTATGCTCTTACATTCAGTAAAGGAAATGTTACTTTCTAAAGTTGGGTTAAAATGGCATTCTATTAGGTATCACGAAAACGTTTATCCTAGTAATAGTAAAAAAAAAATCACAAACTCATCCCCATTATAAAATGGAATAGAAGCGTTAACTTAAGATCAGCAGTCAGTAATGGGGACAAGAACTTGATTTAGACCCTCCTGCTAACTCCTGTATTCAGCTTTCAGCTCCCGAAAAGCTGCATTTAATAAAGCAAAAGCAGCTTTAGGTTATTACATCCAACAGTTATTCCAGCTAGAGTAGGCAAGTTAGTACTCAAAAACCTGCAAAAAATAGTCATCCCATAACACAGTACAGGACTATATCCATTTTATTAAAAAGAATGGGTCTCCTGTAATAGTGAGAGCGGGAAATGAGAACCCCGGGGTGGGGGGAGAGGGGGACCAAGCTCCAGCGCACGGCACGTAAAAAATGTAAGTTGCCCCCAAACCGCAAGCAAGACTCCAGTGCGTAGGAATAGTACAGAATCTTAGGAGCTGAGGGCGCGAAAAAGGGTGCGCGGTCGGAAAAAGCAGCCGACTAGGAAGGGAGACAGTAGCAAACGGAGGGAAGAACCAGCTCCGGGGCAGGTCCGGGAGATTAGGAACTTGGAGCCCGCGGGGTAGGACCAACCGACCCACAGGAGCCTGGGGAAATTTCGGCAGGCTCAGGGGGGGAGGAGAAAAGTGAGGCCTGAGCGAAGGGTGCTTCAGGGAGATAGGAAAAGGAGGGGGAAACTGATCGAATATGCTCAAACCTCTTCGCCTGAAGGGGAAGAGGCACGGACAATCTACACGTTCCCCCCCCTCCCGGAAAGCAAGTGCTTATAAATATAATCACATCATCTCGGAAGAGGGAGACGCACCCAGTTTAAAAGCTCAGTAATCCCAGCCCAAAGCATTTTGTGGATCTGTTAAACGTTTTTAAAAGCCTGGGACGTTAGAAAACGGGCAAAAGGGGGGGGGGGCAGGGAGGGAGGGACAGCTCCGCTGGCGGGAAAAAATCCTGGCGCCTAAGCCGGTGGGAGGAGACCCAGGGCGAGGGAGGAAGGAGGGCGGGCCGGGAACAGCATGGTGACGGCTAAAGGTGGAAACGTGTGTGATGGGGGAGGGGGGGCGACACAGGCCCGGGAAGGAGGAAATGCAGGCCCTGGAGGACCCCGGTTTAAGAAGGCTGTGGAGGGGGGGGGGGCGACCCCGGCCGGGGAGGGCGGCCTAATGGCGGAGAGAAGTGGGGAAGGTGCGGGGTGGGAGGGGGGAGCCTAGTTGGGCCTGGCGGGGCTGGGCTGCCCCCCTTACTCACCCTTCATCCTCCTCGTTCTTACTGGCATCGATCTTCGCCCCCTCCGACTCGGTGCTGCCGCCTTCCGTGCCTCCGGTCGCCGCGCCGCCCCCGGTCCCG